TATATCTAGTTTCTTGGCTAAAAGTCAAAATGTCCTTGGGCCTGTTAGCAACATAGCCTATTCCAAAGGCCAAAAATGTCAAAAGTATTTGCTTGTATCTAATCCTTAAAAGATTTTAGGGTTACCTCTTCAGAGGGGGGGATGTTGGAGGGGAGGGAGTGGGCATGTGTTTGGTCAAAACACCTTATATGCATGTATGAAATTCTCAATAAAGTTTTTGTAAAAGTTAAAAAAATGAACTCGAAAAGAATGTAGGAATCAGCATATTTTAAAATGAAATGGAGACCTTTAAAGGGTTAAAAACTCATTCAGTTTTATGTCTTATAGGGTTTATACTGAGTTCAATATTTTATAACTGTATTAATTAAACTCTGAACCTAAAAATTTACAGTCACTTTTGAAATAGATATATCCTTGCTCTGGAAGTTGTTACTGAATATGTTAAAGTTGTAAGGAAAAAATATTATTTTTATTTTATGTGTATGCGTGTATTGCCTGCATGTAGGTAAGGGCACCCATGTCATGCAATGCCTGTGAAAGTCAGAAGAGGCTGTCAGATCCCCTGGGACTGGAGTTACAGATAGTTGTTAGCTGCCATGTGGGTGCTGGGATTAGAACCTGGGTCTTCTGCAAGAACAACCAGTGTTCTTAACCACTGAGCCATCTCTCCTGCCCCGTACACTACACTTTTAAAACTATTTTATCATTTTTGTTTTTATGTGTATGAGTGTTTTGCCTGCATGTATGTAAGTGTACCATATGAATGCAATGCCTACAGAGGCCAGAAGAGGGTGTTGGATCCCCTGGAACTGGAGTTACAGATGGTTGTTCACTGCCATGTGGGTGCTGGGAATCGAACCCCAGCTCTCTGGAAGAACAGGAAGTGTTCTTAACCATAGAGTCCTCTCTCTAGTCCCTTAGACTTTAAATTTTTTTTAAAATTGTAGCTTTACAAGGCACAGGTCTTGTTCATTCTTCTATGCCCTGTGTGTGGCCTCATACTATGACATGTAGAGTCTCATTAATTAGTCAACTAAATGAGTAAAAGAATAGTTGACATAGGAAATTTTCTTTTGTTTAAATTCATGCATAATAAGTACTTGCTATGTAGCAAATAGAGATTAAAGTTCTTAAAACTTAGACTTTGCTAAGATGTGACTGAAGATAAAGTTTAACCCACATCCAATAATTTAGTAACAGGAACATCATAATGAAGAGATTTTCTAGACTAAACTGGTACATCTATTAAAATATTTTGATGATAGTACTGAGAGAAGGACCTTCTCAGCCACACTTCTAATACAGGACTATAGTTCTTAGGAATAAAACAGAAGACGGTTATGGAAACAAACTCTCACCTTTCCAACAAGTGAAGGGATATTCATTGAGTTGGTTGCAAACCCCATCCCAAAGACCATCGCTGCTTCTACATTCAGGAACTTAGCTAGGAGGTCCTCCAGCTCCTTATGCTTATCCAAGGTACCTGTGTGGAAGTCACATGAGGAGTGATTCGTCCATTTTGGATAAGCTAGAGACTGAAAATTAAAATTCAGTAGACACACATCAGCAAAGATCTGTAGCACAGCAAGAATATTTGTCACAGTCCCAGTCCAGAAAGAAACCAAATGCTCATCTGCTGTAGAATGGATAACTTCACTTAATATTTGTACAGTGGAGTGTAGCCTAGGGAGAGACAAACACTACTGGCCCACCCAACGATGTGGACACATTTCATGAAGGAAGCTGGCACTTAAAAGAACACAGGTTGTATGAATGCATTTATAAAAAGTTTACAGATCTGTGGTAGTGGAAGTCAGGATAGTTGTTTTATTAGAAACATGAAGAAGATTTTGAGATACTCTGAATTTTCTGAATTCGGATGCTGTTGGACACAGGTATATTTGCTTTGTGAAAATTCATTGAGATATAGACTTATGATTGTTTTATATGCATTTTATAATACTATAAAATTTACAAAATGTACTGCAATTCCTTTTCTCCCCACACTATGTCCCCTAAGTAATTAAATTATACCCTCCTAGGGATTTTATTCACCTAAATGCAAGTGGATCTTATAACTTCTATAGCCACCAATAGAAATTTATCAAATTTTTGGAATGTACTAGATACTGTGTCAAGCCTGCTATCTAAATTATTTCATTTAATCTCAGGATGCCATCAGTGCATGAAATATTACTTTACTGATAAGAAAAAGCAAAGTTTAAAGATGTCACAGACAAAACAACAGAAATCATTTAATTACAATGTATGTTTTACTTCTCTACGATGTTTTCCACTTTTTATCTCCCTTCTTTTCTTCCTCTTTCTCTATCTCCTCTCTCTTCTTTGTGTTTCTTTTCTTTGACAAGGTCTTACTCCCTAGCCCAGGGTTGCCTTCCAACTAGTGAGCTTCTCCTCTGAAATTCCTGAGTGCTGAGATTGCAGGCACACATCTTTTATGTCTTGGCTCAGTTTCTTAAACATAATCCAAACCCGCCTTGCTGATAGCAAGTGTCGATGCTTCCTGAATTTTCTGTTTGCTATCACTCTGTCTTCTGGTTCTACACTGACCAGTGTGTTAGTCACTAGCTCTGTGTGGTTAGTGAAGCTGAAAAACTACGCTCTAAATTTCATTTGTTTTAGTAACTTAATTTTAATAGGGTTTCACTTGACACTAACCATTGAAAATTTAGTGTGTGACATGAGATGTAACATTATTGTAAAAAGTATCACTTTTGAAATTTTAACACAGCAAGAGATTTTGTTTTGATTGCATGTTTAAATGATAATATTTGGGTCAAATAAATGTTTTATTAATTAATTTTACATTTCTTTTCACTTCTAATGTGGCTATAGGAAAATTAAAAATCACAGCTCTTACATATTTTTAAATTTCCTTTGTAAAAATTTCATAAACATATTTTGATCATATTTAGATCCTCTCCCCTATATTCCCCCATTACTACCCTCACCTATTTTCATGTACTCTATTATACATGCAATTATATAATAATTAGCCAGCCCAAAAGGAGGAGACTGGGTTCTGGCCCTAGGTCTGCCATTAACAGCTGAATGGCCTCTGTCTACTGTCCTTGCACATTTTTAAAGGAATTGGAAGTCACAGTTTTGGTTCCTCCGGCATGCACACACTCTTTCCTCTATGTACAGTGGTCTCCTACTTCAGTAACAGGCTCCTACTCACTCTCTGTAATCCACCTAATGTGTCAACCATTCTCTGCTGCCTTTCTCAACATCCCAAGGCAAAACTAGTCCTGAGATGGCAACATCATCACATAATCGTGTAATGATGATAGCCTTACTAACACGAATTGAGGAAATTCCTGGAGTGACCTATTTCTCTATTACGAAGGGAGCCTTCAGAGTGTAGACAGACTGTGAAATCCAACAACTTCACAGATACTAATCACTATATCAGTGATGTTCATTCTATCAAAATACTTATGTTGCATGTAGTAGATGTTTTCTCATAATGGACCCAATGCCTTGCCTGATGCTGACATTGAGTATTTACTTAGAGAGTTGAGTGGGGGTCTTATTGTGGAGAATGAAGGCAAAGATGAGTGAAGAGTGAGATGAAATTAGGAAGGTCAAAGATCCACACAAAGCTGAAGCAGCAAGGTAACTGGACAGTAAACATCAATATTTACAGAACTTAGCCAAAGACAGATGGCACCTACAGTTTGCAACTTGGTAACCTTCCCCATAAATCTTTCCTGCCCGGAGGGTCAAATGAGTGTGTCACAGCCCAGTCACCCAGACATGTGTGAGAAGATATTTAAGATAAATCTCCACCTTGTTCTTTCCAATCTGCCATCCCATGTAGTCATCTACAACAGTTGAATCACTTAATGTCTTTAGGACATCGTGGGATGTGTTGCTAAGCAAACAAACATGCAAGCATCTGTGAGACATGGATGTGCATAAGACCATTCTGAGAGGTTACCTAGTGTAAGATTTCTGTCACCAGCACTGGCTTAATGAAAAGGGAGAAAAGGAAATGTGTCTGCCCGAGGTCTCCAGATACCAGCTTTTTGCTGGATTTCCAGTAGGCAGGTGGTGAACAAAGTGATATATATATTTTTTGGTCTTTTTGAGACAGGGTCTCCCTGTGGCCCCAGCTGTCCTGGAACTCACTATGTAGACCAGGCTGGCCTTGAACTCACAGAGATCTGCCTGTCTCTGCCTCCCAAGTGCTGGGATTAAAGGTGTGCGCCACCACGCCTGGCATAAAGTGATTTTTAAATGGATTAGTTTCTATGACCAGATGTCTCATAGCTGAGTTATGAGGATTTTGCATATAAGGGCTTGCCTTAATTTGGAGAAAACAAAACTATCCAAATCTCATTATGAAATGTCTCTGTTTAAGAGACAGGATGGTTGGAAAATTTCTACTTCAGGAAGCTATGTGTTGAAAAATTAGCCTGGGGCCAGCAAGATGGCTCAGCTGATCATTACTTGCCAGCAAATGTGACCTGAATTTAATCTGAACCCACATGATGGAGGAGAGAACCAACTCTCATAAGTTGTCCTCTGACCTACACACACACACACACACACACACACACACACACACACACACACACACACACAAACACACACACACACACAGATACACAAATGTAATAAAAAAATCGTCTGGGCAAGTCCAGGGTAAAATGGGATTCTCTAAAGATTAATGAAAAATATGGTACTTTTGAATGAATTAAGGGCATTTTCCTCTTGCTCTTCGTACTTAAGAAATAAAGATGTAGGAAGAGCTTGAGGAAACAAAATAGTCACTAAAAATTTGACCAGCTTCCTTTCCACAAGTATCAGCCCATGCCTCAATTGAGTAAAGGCAATAAATAAGTTGCAGCTGGTGGTCCAAATATTTAAGTAGTTTTAGAAATAACATTCAAAAGTTCGCCTTTGAGATTATAAATGCTGCCTTTTGTAAATCCCATGAAAGCACTGTTGTAATCCTAGCTGGAAGCACAAGTGAATACACATAGTTATATATTTATTTCTGATCCTTTGAATGACATGTTAGTCTATGAAGGTCATAATAGCTATAAATTGGTAGTGACAGTGGCACCACAAATTGCTGTTATGCAAATATTGACTCTTATTATCTTAATGGGTTATTTATCCAGCAGGCTACCAAAAATCTGCTCTTCAAATAAAAGAATAAACATGAGCTGGATGTATCCTCTTTCCAGCTCACTAAGTGATGCTTTTAGATGCCAACCACTGAGTTCATTGCTATCAGCCAAGGCAATAAAAACTGCATTCAGGATAAATTAGCAGCATTCTGTGCATGTGCTACATGCTTCTGTTGGAGTTTTAGTGATACCAACTGGTTCACAGTCAAAATGTAGAGATTGTTGGTCTTCATACTGACATATTGGCATTGATAGATAGCAATGAATGTGGGTACAAATAAGAGGCCCTTTTCATAGATGCCGATTATTCCTATGTGACATGTGTGAAGATATTTTCCAAACTGTGGCTAGTTACTTTGGGTTCTGATAATCCTGTTTGTGGACTCTTTCCAGAATTGGACTTGGAGCAACTTGCCATTTTCCACTCGGACCTGCCAGCTAACCCATCTGTCTGCTCATTGTATTGTGCCATTGCTTCACATCTGTGCCACTTTGCTTGAATTAGGAATTCCTGCATTCAAGCCAGCATCAATCCTTGTGCCTTTAGGCATTGCCCCAAAGCTTTCAGGTACCTTGTTCTCTTATTTGTTACAGGACTATATTGCCTCTTGATAGACACTGCTTTTTTGGGAAGCATTCAGAGAAAGATGAGGAAACCAGGTACCATGTCTGAAATCAGATCCTGTGCCTGAAATGGGTCTAGGACATACTATTATATAGAATGAACACAGGACACTTCACAGAGACAAACAGAGGAGGCTCCTTGTGTCTGTACCACTATTCAGGGCTTCATTTTAAACAAACCACTCAGTACTTACTGTTGAGTTAAAGCATTAGCAGATAATAAGAATCTGATACAAATAAAATATCTAAGGGAGGCATGGGCATTTGTATTAGTTACTTTTCTGTTGCTGTGATAAAAACACCATGACCAAGAAAACTTATGAAAGAAGCAGTTTACTTGAGATTAAGGTTCCAGAGGGGTAAGAGTCCATCATGGCGGAAAGGCATGGTACCCGAAGCCAAAAGCTGAGAGCTCAAATCTTCCAGCACACACAGGGAGCAGAGGGCAAAGAGGAAGTGGGACAAGGCTATGAACTCTTAAAATCCACCTTCAGTGATCTGCTTTCTCCATCAAGGCCACACTTCCTAAAGGTTTCATGACTTCCTCCAAACAGCACCACCAACTGGGACCCATATACCAAGTGTTTAAATACTTGAGTCTATGAGGACATTTCTCTAGTATCCCATATAATTATGATGCATCCTATGGCAAATGATACTGATAAAAAAGTACTTTTAAGTTGACAGAATGAATTGG